GATATTTCCTTAAATTGTAATTTAGTTAAATTATTTAATGAATTGTGAATTTTAATGGGAAGCCACGTGTATGATATGTGTTTGTTTATTTTTTTTGAAGTGTGGTTAGTTTGACACGTGGGAATACTAAATTGATAAGACTGAGTCAAAATTTTGTTTCAAATACTCTTATTCAATTACTCTATCCCACTTCCACACATTTTCCACTATGCACCAACTCTTTAGAGTTTAAGTAATTATTGCCTATGTACGTATAGATGTATGACCTAATGGTAGGTACTCAAAAAAAAATATATACATTTATGCACGGCACACAAGCAGAGGCAAGAAAGTAGTTTGTAACGTGATTTTGGAGTTTTTCATCTTTCAAGAACTTATTTAATTTAACAAGGTAGGATAACGAGGTACAATTATTTTATCCCATTTAAATTGTTTATTTTCATGTTGTTGAATTATTATGCTTATGAAAGTTTAGAGATATGATATGATATGCATGTTATGAGCTCTTATCGGTTTCTAAAGATCTGATGATGGTATGATATTTTGACACATTTTTAAAATCTTTTATTCGGGATTGCACTACTATTTTATGTCCTACTGAGTATTCTCATGTACTCACCTTTTTTTCCCTACTCCTCACATGTTAGTACGGTCGTGTCGGATTGTGGTAGTTCGATGTTGTGGTTGTGCCTCGTTTCACTGGACAAAAATCTAAAATTTAACACGTAACTTTGTTCCTTTTAAGTTTAATTGCAATAGACATTATTTCAAAATGTAATTCTTGTACGTTTATTTGTATATGGATATGTTTAGATTGCACTTTTAGTTGAAAGTTTAAAATTAATTGCTTGATGTAGTTGTGTGATCTTCCGCTACCCATTTCCATTTTTTTAGAATTAATTGTTTAGTTGACCATTGAACACATTAAATACTTATTGTTACAGTTTTAGCCAATAAATTTTGGTAACGATTCTTATTTAGTTCTATACAAAATTTTGGGTCGTTATAGTTTAGTATCAAATGTTTATGTTTAATTTTCTATAGACACATGTATTTTAATAACGGGTTTTAAAAAAATAGTATATAAAATAAATAATTATATTTTATGAAAAAAATTTGGGATTTTACAATCTCCCCTACTTAAAATATTTTTGTTTTCGAAAATTGCATTGGCTAATTGAAGAGTTCTGGTTACTTGATTTTAAGTTTCTCTTCCTTTTCCCAAGTTGACTCGTCAAATTCATGATTTCGCCATTGAACCTTGACCAAGAGAATTTCTTTATTTTTGAGTTGATGCACATTTCTATCCAAAATCATCATCGGAATTTCTTCATATGATAAGTCTTTTTGTACCCCCAATATCTGATAACCCACCACATGATTTGGATCATGAACATATTTTCTGAGCTACAATACCAATCCTTTCAAGATTTTCCAAAGGTCCAATAAATCGTTGTCTCAACTTTTCAGTCTTACCAAATCTTAATACACCNACACCCTTCATTGGTGCTACTTTTAAAATTTTTTTTCACCAAGTTGAAATTTCAAATCCTTTCTTCTACTATCAGCATACTGTTCACGTGAATAGTGGAAAAAACATTTCATGAGCAGTGACAGTCGCATCATTGTTCACGATGAGCAGTGGAAAATGAAAATGTCGAATAATATTAATATTGAGCTTTCATGTTTTCAATGATACATTAATAATTAATTATTTGTTAGTCGTTTCTTTGCATAACGTTTGTTAAAAAATAATAATAATATTTTTCTTAAGATATATGAATTTAAGAATGAAGTCAATTTAAAATCTTAAATATGTGAAAAATCTTTGGCACTCAAGACCACTAATCAGCTACCCTCCGATGACTCTAAGGTATGTAAAGGGGGTAAGAAAGGGAATTTATTCAATCATTTTGTATAATTTACATCTTTTAAATTGCCTACTTTTAAATTTTAAGATATGCATATTTTCCCTCACCAAATTTATAATGTATTATGAGAATATGGGTATAACATGTTAGACTGGTACAGGTATGTGACAAGTGACTTAATATTAAATTTTTTTAGGAAATGACACCACCTGCATACACGAATTTGATGCGGGACTTATTGCAAGCAGTACAAGAGTTGAGCAAGCAGAATCAAGCACCTCTACCACAAAATTCACCTCCACAGTAAAATGCACCTCCATTTGTCTTGGAAATTGTCTTAATGGTTGAGTAGTTTCGTAGGTTCAAGCCTCCTACTTTTGATGGCGGTTCGACCCACTAATTGTTGAGGGGTGGATTAGAGGTCTGGAATGCATCTATCGACATATTGCTTGTACGGATGCACAGAAAGTACTATGCACGAAGTTTATG